TTATGCCTGTGTTTAATCTGACGATCAGAGCCCACGATCACGGCATCCCATACCGATCCACATCTGTTCCCGTTTACATACATAATCCCGATTTCCTCAACAGAACCGTTGTCTTCAAGATTGGAGACAAAGAGGAAAACGTGATTAAACGCAAACTTGCGATCGAAAGGTTTGTATGAATTCATAAAGTTATAAAAGTTATGTACTTTATATAATGAATGTATATAAAAGTTATAATAAGTTAATATTAAGTTAACTCTGCGTGTAATTAATATTAAAGGGGTATGGTTGATTTAAGTGGCGCCCAAGTTCATATTTATCAGATTAGCCAAAAGGACAAACAAAAAGACGTGACAGACATAATGGCGTGGATGGCATACCCCTCACAATCGGAAGGTTTGTATTTTTAATGATTTAAAAATACAATTAAATTAAAATAACGTAAACTTGAAATCTTTAGTCAATTTGGATAAAACGCCCGCAATATTGAGTCAAATCATGGGAAAGGACTTCAACTCCGGAGAAACTGCCAACAAATTTATGACAACACAAATCGCTGGCAACGATTTCCGGCTACTTATTTGGCTCCTTATTATATTGATTGCCGGAACTCTTGTCTTTTTAATTATATTCTTGATTTGTTGGTTCTGTTGCTGTCGAGACAGATATCGGTACAGATTATTCAATATTAAATGATTCGTCAAATAGTACTATATTTGTAATGTCTTTCTAAACAATAGCCGCCAAAAACTGGACGATTCGGAGAAAACTACTTATTTGAAGACATCGACCAATGGTTCAGTTATGAGACATAAAGACAACAAATCTATTAATGAAAGATATGATAAATCCAATTATCACAAGAGATCCAACCATTCGGTTCAGGCCTGGAATGAAGGCGTTGGCGACCGAACGCATTTGTCGAGTGGTTACAGACCTTCTTCTGCGCCAAACAACGACCAAAACCATTACATGCAAAGTGTGAGAGCAAACAGTTCCCAATCATATCCCGATCAGTATTTGGCACAAAATCCATCACTTTATCAACGAGTTTATAAACTCAATCGCAATCAACGGACAAGAGTTGGTCCACAATATTATGATTCTTACGACGAAAAGGATTACAGAAACGGATTTCTAACCCATCGACCAAACAATCAAACGATGCGAACATTTAAAGGCGTCGATAATATGGGATATTTGCGCACAACTAATGAGCCCTACGTTATCGACGATTTCAACGAACACAACGCTGTGGTAGTGAACAGATCCAGTCGTCCAACAGTACATCCATTACATCCATATAATGACAATTTGGTCGCATTCCCGAAACGCACGGAAATTCTTTACATTCAAAGCCCAACAAAAGGACGACCACAAGAGGAGGTGTTGAGAAGTATCAGTCAAAACGATGTGCCATATAATGAAGACCAGGATTTCGAGTCAGATGTGTCTCAAACCGGTAAAGAAGGCGAATTGAGAGTGAAATTCGCGTCGAAGTCGAAACAGAGACACATTTATTTCAATGACCAAAACATGACAATTCCAGAAGAAGTTGTTGTCGTCCCGGGAATGATGCCCAACAGTATCGCTCATAATCAGCCCATCTCTGGGACATCTGCTTCTTATGCTCAGAATGACGACACATCCAAATCAAGTCAAAGAGTTTTGGTGATCGACGACCAAAGGAGAGAAGGATTAGACGCCAGGCTTGAAAATGAGAGACTATTGGGCGACACAAATGTGTTGCAACCCATTAATGAAAGCAATGAAAATCTAAATGAAATTATGAATTATAGTCCATATAATGACGACAGCATTCATATAACTTCTGTGAAAGGAGTTCCCGTCAGTATTGAGTTAAAAGAGAGTAAAAACGGCACAAATACCGAAACGACAAAAGAGTCGACAGAAAACACAAATAAAAGACACAAAAAGAGTCGAAAGAAAGTATTGACAAAAGAAAATAGTTTTGAAACATCGGAAAAGTCATACGATTCTGATTCAGGAATCGGTAAAACCATTGCTAACGCGAACATTGATTTAGATATGAAAAACAGCGATCTTATGGAGAAGAAGAGCATATTTACGATTGCATACAATGACGTCAAGACAAGGCATTTACAATCGGCTGAATCTAACTTTGAATAACTGGTGTTTTTTATTTTACTTTATTTTGTACTCAATTCCCCTTTTTATGATTGTTTGTTCATTTTTTGAATGCCGTCTCAAATCTCTGTGATATTTACTTCTAGTTAACAAATCATGTATAAAAATAAATATAACTTTTTATTGCAATACATTAACACTTATATAAATTTACAATATATTTCGTCAAATGGGCTTAAAATTAGATTTTTTGAAAAACATAAATATATGTGTATTTTATGTAAAATTCGTGCAAAGCATCAAAATATATATTTCATCCTTTTTAAAATAAAATCGACAATTTATTTAAATGATTGATTGATTAAAATTAATAAAGTAATTAAACTAGATATAAATGCAAGATATTGTATACTTTAGTATAAAATTACACTTAAATTAAACATCTTTGAAAATTTCAATATATTAAATAAAATGGTAAATTATTTGTTTCTTTTTATTCGCCGACCTTTTGATAACAAAATGCATCTCAAAAAGCAATATTAAACTACCGCTGGATATGTGTTCAATTGCCACTTGATTTGTATTTTTATTTAGTTTATGTTTATATTTATCATGAAATATATATT